AAAGTGAGCTAGGCACATTAACGGGTCTGCCGTAGCCTAGACAAGATTATGCTCTAGGACATAATCACCATAAATCGTTACTGAGGAACAGGTATAGGAAGCATGAAGCAGCGATCATCCGCCCTAGCAGTTGCCTCATGAAGAAATTAGAGAAAAAGATGTTAAGTGACTGTTGTTACAGTTCAGGAATAGACAAGTTGGCTGTTGTCTATTATATATCATTCCTTTTCCCCCACAATTAGATACCACTTTGATAAGCTGGTTGACTCATTGCGAGTGGAGAAGTGTAGCTCCTCGAGCACCATTGATTTAGTTTTCCCTGGATAAGGGACATTTAATTTTCCTCTGGGTAAGGACTTGAGCTTGTGACTCCTAAAAAGTGCACCTGGTCCTTGTTACTGGCGACCAAGGCCAGGCAGAAGTCTTATACTTATTCTAAGTCCTTGTATCCTCAGCTGGTGACTTCTAGCCTTGCTTATGGCAGTGGGCAGGTCTTTGGTGCTTCACTGGAAAGTGAAGGGTTCTCCGACGTACCTAGCTCCAGAAGGAATTTGCTGGAGTAGGTGTAAAAAGGATGGTCCCAATAGTACTGCTCAGTTTGATGCACTCGCTAAGTCATGCAAGAAAGAAGCAGTGGTGTAGCTGCAAACTCTCGCCTTCCCTTGTCCCCACAGGCCTGTATCGAACTACATGCTGCTGCAGAGTGAGCTGGGCCTGCTGTCCTGAAGCAGAAAACTGATATCCTACAGTAATGGCGAGATGCCTAGTGCAAATAGAGAGAGCTAATTAATGAAAGCTCAAACTTAAGCTGTCAGTAACTTCTAAGCAAATCTGAATAGACTTCTAGCCAAAGATATTGTGATTTTTCACTAGCAAATCACAATAGCACACTGGCTGGGATGCGAGACTGGGGCACGGGTCTCATTTTACTGTCCAGTGAACTGCAGCAAGGTAACACAGCTCAGCAAAGTGGCAGAAGTCATCAGCATCAGATGTAGTCTGCATGCTCCGCAGGTCTTCCAGGAAAGCTGTATCTTTTCAGCTCTCAAATGCTCATTTACCTGAAGGATAAATTTGCAAGAAGCAGCTTGTAACACAGTTACTGATCTCTGTATTATCTGTGGCTGTAATTCCTCCACTGTTATTTCATTCAGTTCTACAAACATGCGTATTTTCTGGAAGGCTGTTCTCAGGAGTCAGAGTATACACTGCACCACAAGCTATGCTTTGCAGGAAAGGCTTACAGCAGGACTGTAATTTAAGTACAATCATCTCACTAGAAGAAGATTACATACATGGGAATTTTGTAATAAAGTAACTGTGACTGTGTCCCAAAAAATGAAAGCCAAAATGAAAAAAAAAAGAAGAAAAATGTACACGTATTTCAAAACAGGGACTCGTGCAGAAGCATGTATGCCCAAGAGGCAAGTGTTCAGTTCCAGCAGGCATATAATGAGTCAGGCTACATCAAGCATGGGACTGCAACTGTTTATAAGTGCACAAGTAACACATTTCTAAACCTCATTACCATGTACCTATTCAGCAACAATAAAGTGGCAATTATGGTTCATTTCATTTTGAAGTTTCAGCTAAACCACCGCAGCCGGGGTTTTCTCTGACTCTGTCCGCAACAAAGCCCATCTAAGTCAGCAGTGAACGCTCACTCCTTCCTGCACTGCATGCCAATACCCTGTCTAATTAACAGTGTCTGAGTACAGCCTTTTCCCCTGGCCCTACATGAAAAAAGGGGAGCAAAGTGATGAAGCTAGAAGGATAAATGGAGTGACTGACCAAGGAATGCAAAGGAAAGGAGGTTCCTGAGCATAGTGAGCGGAACTGTAACTTCTCTCAGTATAACCTGAGCAAACACTGGAGATGTACAGAAATATTCTCTGTTGATTATGTTTATCAACACACAAAGCTACAGAAGATTATCAGACTGAAAAAACAGGCGCACAAAAGCTAGGTAATGCTGGCAAATAAAGCCTGTGCAACTTTAACTCCATGGTGTTCTGCATCGTGAGACAGTCCCTAGTTAGACTGCTGTTTCTTCACATTAGAGCATCCTCTTCAAAGTTAGTCCCTCCTGCCCCTTCAGGCATGTCTCCCTCTCACTCCTGTTCAGCCCCTAAGCCATTTGCAGATCTTTCCCTCAGGCCTCTCCTAGTCCATAGTCATTTCATATGGATCCCCGTCTGTCCCAGTCATTCCTTCTCAATCCACATCCTTTTGTCAGCCTCACTGCACCCTTCCATCCTATAGTATTGCCAGCTCTAGCAGTTTATTTGTGAGGGACAGGCTAACAGCTAGTCTTCATTAAAGACAAGAACATCCATAGCTCTAGCAAATTTTTTGTCCAGCCTGTGACTTCCACTGTGACCTCAAATGCTTTAATATTAAACCTTTTCTAAAAACCTTCTGATGTTATCTATGCACATTAATTGTAGCGAAAACAAAATTTTGCTTCTGGCTGAAACAGATGACAGTGGTGAGCATAAATAAATAAATAGATGCACTGAACCAGGCAAATGCTATAAACTTGATAGCCTTTTTTTTTTTTTTTTTTTACTTTTAGGAAGTTAAATTAAAAGCAAGTATATTGCTCACTAAGGAGGAAATTCACCTCATTCACCTAAACAATCTGGTTCTACTAAAGTGAAATGGAGTGGGAGAAAGGCAAGGGAGGTAAAATCAGCCCTTCACCCAGAACCAGTATATGAACCTGTAGCACATGCATTCAACCACTGCCTCCCATAGCCACAGTACCAGCACAGCGAGCAGTACAGCAATTTCTGTGTTTCTACTCTATTTCTACCCATTAAAATCAGGTCCCACAGTCTCTCTCTTTGACTTGTCCAAAAGCTCTTCCAGACTGATTAAGGACTAATTGCAAATGCAACAGTGAACGAGAGACCGGAGGAATGTGCAACTATTACTTTCATCACCAGACACCTGCTTCCATTTCTTTGCTTCCTGAATAAAGAAAGAACAGTTTTCTGGCAATTTTTTTACACCATCATGTCTGCTTTGCATGACCACAGCAAGATTTGCATACTGGGTTTCTGCAGGTTTTTTGGACAGGGTACTACTGACAGAAGAATGTAAAACCAGTATTCAAATCTTTACATTTCCTTGGTGGCTGCATCAGGTAAATTAATAGTAAAATTAACAGTAAAATTAATAAATAACAATTAGCAATTACACAGTGCATTACAGCTCCACCTGAAGATAAATCAGTATTATTCTTCCTGTTTTACAGTGGGGATATCTGATTGTCCTAGCATGCAAAGCAGTAAAGGAGGCACTGATTATTAAGACTTTACTCCTTCTACACAGCATGTTTGCATATTATGCAAACAGTGCACAAACGAAGCAGAACTTCATTCATGTTGGTCAAGCATTTTGTAACATGTAAGAATATAAAAAGAAGTTGTCTTCTCAGGGACATATGATACTCATGTGAGTTTTGCAGGTTTACGGATGAGATACGTACCAGTAGGTGAGGGCTGAGACCCCTCTCAGCTCAGCGCATCAGTAGTGGGTAAGCCTCACTCCGGCAGGGATGAGCGTGCAGGGATCTAAAAGGCAACACAGAAAACAGTAACCCACATCAGAGATTCCCTCAAGGGCGAAGCACTACAAACGTATGACGTGGTATTAATCTGTGTGTGACATTTTATAAACTCAGTGTAAGCATACTTTCCAAATGCTCTATCAACCCTAGACGTACTTTTATTGCGATTTTCTATGCTTTTACTAGATATTGAGGCACTGGGCTACTTACTGTATTTTTCATAACCTCAAGGAACAAAATTTCATGCTACATTTGAAAATAACAGAACTTGGAAAGATGCATCAGTTTCAGTGATGCTGATTTTAACTGATCCAATGTTTTATTGACAGTGAAGCACAGGAAAGATCAGAATTCACTAACACATGAATCAGACACCTGCAAATTCGGATTCATTCTCCTCTGGCCAAAAGCAAATTTAAACAGGTCATACAACGGGTGAGGTGAGAGATAGAAATGCACTGCAGTATGCATCACACAGCAGAAAGCAGCAGGAAATCTTTCTTTATGAGCATTTTGATGATTTAGCAGGTTGTAAAACCTGCCTCAGGAAGCACTCCCTGAAGACCGTGAAACCTGGGCAAAACTATATTCCTCACGTGTACTTATTAACGAGCAACTGTTTTGCGTCTCTTCAGAGTTTAAGCAGAACAGCGAGAGGTGACTGTAACGAAATACCAAAAGGCCCAGTTCTAAGCGCGGGGCTTAAAAAATACGAGGAAAACAGCAAGACAGGGCAAAATCGCGGGCACCTGCAGCACCGGCGGCGGTTAGCGAGGGGTGAGCGACCGCCTCAGCGCCACGTCACGAAACCCTGTCAGGGCCCC